CTAGTAGTAGTAGTAGTAGTAGTAGTAGTAGTAGTAGTCGTAGTAGTAGTAGTCGTAGTAGTAGTAGTAGTAGTAGTAATAGTAGTCGTAGTAGTAAAAGTAGTAAAAGTAGTTGTAGTAGTAGTAGTAGTAGTAGTAGTAGTAGTAGTAGTAGTAGTAGTATTAAGATCGCCAGTAATAGGTCTGCTAACAACGTTTTGAATCACAAATCGCAATCGTGCGATTGATGAGAAGAACACATGTATTAGCAACCGTAATAAGACAACTGAGCATTTCACCAATACTGCTACCAGCAGTGATAATGCTCATATTATTGATATTTGTATGTGGTATTAGTTGTCGCCATGCTCATATCACTAGTGCTAACTATATTAATACTAGTACAACCACTAGTGCTAACACTAATACTGCTGTGCGAAATAGCTTTACTACTACTACTAGTACTACCACTACTACTACCACCACCGGTACCATTACCACTACTACTACCGTTACTACTGCCACCACTACTACTACTACTACTACTACTACTACTACTACTACTACTACTACTACTACTACTACTACTACTACTAGTACTACTACTACTACTACTACTACTACTACTAGTACTACTACTACTACTACTACCACTACTCCTACTACTACTACTACTACTACTACTCCTACTACTAGTACGAGTATGATTACTACAACTACTACTGACGGCGACTTCGGTAAGTGTGCCATATGCCTGGGCCATTTCATGAACCACGACAAGGTCTGGCGCCTCCAGTGCGGCCACATATTCCACGCACGATGCTGGGATCGAGTGGTACACGCTCATGTGGATAGACAGTTGTCTGGGCACACGGAAGGTTCCGCAAGTGAGGCCCCCTGCGCTATATGCAGGGGTGCTGGCCTCATTACTGCCGAGTTCCACTACGCCCTTGCTGGAGATCAGGAGTCGCTCGACCGTCATGAAGATATATTCCGAGGGGCGAACGAGCTCAGGGACCTCCGTGAAGAGCTCAACCGCGTTACGGCGAGGATGACGGGCACCGCGGCAGTCTCGATGACGACGCCAGCGGGGCAACTTGCATCACCAGCCAACGCGGGGCTAGTAACGGAGGCAACCACACTTGCAGGGACACCTGCTATAGACATGTCTATGCCATTGGTGGCAGAGACCGCAGTGGCAATAGTGGGATATCCGAACGCGATGTGCTGCATCCGGTATTTCATGATACTGATGGTCAGATGTGCATGCGCACGGATGAGGACGCATTCCTGAATTTACCCGCTACCCTGCATCACACCCATATACGTATGACGAATATCCTACTGCCTGGATCTTTGAAGAGAATCCGATGACGGCAGGAAAGGCTCTTGGGTATATGAATGTTTTCACATCTTGGTCTCGAGCTGATTGGGTGTTGGAGCAGAGGCGCCGCAAAGGCTTGCGTGGCGCGACAGTGTCTGAAGTACCTGGACTATGTGGTGAACGCCATGAGCTAGCCTTGGCAGCTAACAGTGGAACTCGGATTAATGGTGTGTTGACTATTCTTCTGGATAGTGGCAATCATTTCGATATTATTGGAGGAGGATCAGGTATCATGCCCCCGCGGACACGCCATTCAAAGGCTGAACCTCACGAAGAGGCTTTACGTGTCAGGAGTGGGACATGGCGCCGCGATCTGTGATAAATCCCTGCATTGCAGGATTGCATGCGCAGAAAGGGGAGATCCTGCGGGGCAACCTGCTGTGCCGAGACTCGGCGCGTACGCAGCAATGGCTGAGGGTTCTGGGGGGGACCTCCCTGCCATCCTGGGTCTGAGGAGCATGTCCAGCATGAGGGCCCTCCTGATCCTTGAGCAGGGGCACGAGAAGATGATCATCCCTGGCGTGGAAATGCATGAGGTTTTATTCGGAAGAGGTGCCAAGTATAATCGACCTGATGAAGACACCTTCCGGACATCTGGCACTCGAGGCCGACGACTGCGAGATGGCTACTAAGGATCAAGAGTCGATGTTGTTTACTATCGCTGCCAAGCCTCAGTGCGAAGAAGCTCCATTACTCGTCGAGGAGGTATCCGATCCAGAGCCAATTGCAGGGAAGCCTGCTGTGAATGATGCTCACGCATGCATGATGTCACAAGATGCGAAGGGCATCCGTTTCTCTATCGACGACGAGACGTTCACTTTCACGATCCAGTCTGTGGTGAACAACGCCTTGCAGACATGGCATCGCAGGAATATATCCTTTGGGGCTACCCCTACCTCGGCCGACAAAGACTTCGCCCTCCGCAATTTGCAGGCGGAGATATATCAGGCCATCTACGAGGAGGGCACGAAGTGGGCGCCTCCCGACGCGCAGGCAGGGACACCTGCGGAAGGGGATGATGCCGCTGAGAAGTTTGATATGTTTTACTTCGAGCAGTGGCTCTGCAGCGCAGCATGGCACAGGCATTTAGACGCCCCCGTCGCCGAACGAGTGACGGGGGCAGGCGCGCGCCACGGCCGCTCGCGCTTGATCGGACAGGCCGAGCACTCAGGTGCTGTCAGCAACCGCGGGGGAACCTGCA